TAAAAAAGTTTAAAGTTATGCATTTCTTGTATATTTTATACAAAACATGACTATAAATTCAAAACACGAAAACTAAAACTACCCAATAAATTAAAAATAACCACTTTTGTACAATTCAAACTACCAAATTCGTATAATTCAACATATCAAATTCATGCAATTCAAAATACCAAATTTATATATTTAAATAATGTCCGGGGGATACGTAACAATTTAACTGGGGGGGGGGGGGGACAATGTGTCCATGCTGCTGCATAAAAGCAGTAAACTAAAGAGATAATGAGACCTATTGAGGTAACTGAACAACGTACTTGGCATTTCGACTCTCCAGATTCCGCTACTCTTCTGTTCGGCCTTCATATAGTGATCATTCTGCTGCTTTGCCTCCTCTTTGATCCTTACGTTTTCGCTTTCAACTCAGCTACATGTAAATATTCAATATTTGACAAAAATCAGTAATTTGTTAGCAATGAAAATTAGTGACATGATGCATACCAATATAATCAACATACTTCTATGGCCAATCTAGTAATGGATGATCTCTCGTTGCTGCTACCGGCGCTACAATCACCGGTCATAGCATAATAGGGATCCTGGGAGGTCCCTGAACCCATATTGATGGCCCTTCATTCGTCTTAGATACTCTGCATCCAAAGAGTTGCATCATCAAGAGGTCTGATGCCGGGCTCTGCATTAGATTGGCCTCATCCCGAAGCTCTTGAAACCACTCATCTGGTTTACCAAAACAAAAACGGGTGAACTCTGTAAATCTAACATATCCAACGATTGCTTTCAACAATTATAATATTCTAATTACCAATGATAATCTAACATATCCAATGACATTTCAGATATGCTTTCAGTAGCATATCTATTTAGCCTAACTTTTGCCCAACTGTGATAGCCTAATTAATAACATCATTATAATATAATGAAAATATATTACTTTAAACCTGTGACACCTCAAAAATGAGGTAAATAAATGATTTTGAAGAGAAAAGACAAGATATATATATATATATATAGAGAGAGAGAGAGAGAGAGAGAGAGAGAGAGACTGGTTACATTGCAAACCGCTCAATCAAGAAAACCATGCAAACCACTTTCGATCAATAGGAAAATTCCGTTTTTTTCTTTAATTTTAATCAGTAAGGATGTAATAGTCATTTCATTGTATATTGATTAATATTGGAAAATAATAAATACTGTTAATTTTGGAAACGTAATAATGGAAACGTTTCATATAGAAGGAGGTAACTCAATTTTTCTTAATATAAATGTTTTACCATTAATATGTTTTATTATTTTATACCATTATATTTTATAAAAATATGAATTTTAAAAGCAGTAGAATATGAAATTTGTGTTCGGTTTCATTGAAAAAATATATGTACTTTGAGTAATGAAACTAATTTCATGTTCAATAATGACCAACAAACAATTTCACAATATTTCAAAACGTTTTATGCATGAAAAACGTTTATTGAATAAAAAAAATATTTAGTTTTCAAAATGTCTCATTAAATTTTTAAAAAATATTTCATTCTTTATATGTTTCATCGTTCAACACTACATGACAATTGATCTTTCTTTATAGCAGTCACGTGAGTTCGTTCTATAAACGGTGAAACAGTTTCGTTCATTGATTTAATGATACAAAATATTTGCTTTAATATTCGAAGTGGTTCATTATTTTTAGTTGATTATAGTATGTTTTATATTTCATAATTTATTAGGATATATATATATATATATAT